ACAGAACATCAGATATTTTTAACCCTTTAACGCTTGCAAATATGTAGACGTCGACGAAATGCTCTACACATCTAAGGCCATTTGACTTCTCATGAAAGATTTGCTCAGGTGCAGCGCAGTGTTTGTGTGATCAAGTGTGTGCGCGGCACACATCCTGGTTTCAGCGTGGGGTGTTCAAACACTCGCTGGCTGTCCCGTCTCTACATTTTTTGACTCAATCAACCTCACAACCCTGAGTAGAACAGCGAGTCATCACATTCACAGGTGCACTTAACCACGCCATGGCTCAGGCCTGTTTTCTTTGAATTGCTGCCAGCATACAACCAGCTTCCTGCTAAATATAGTAAAACAGCCTGCTTTTAAGATAAAAAGCAACTTTGTGGAGGAAAATCTGTCTGCAAAACCACAATTTCTTCATTTTGTTTGAAAACTGTCGCTTTAGATCTGTCCTGACACTGCATTCTTTATACAGCCATTACTGTCTGTAAATACGAGATGGCTTGAACCCTATTTTAGGGTCGAGAGTGGGTCACATGCAGTCCCTCATGCGAAATTGCACTACGGAAACTGCTAGAGGACACGCCATCTCTTACATTCACCCAATCAAAACAAGCTCTGCACGTCTGCCTTTGTCTGTGGTGTGACACCTGTCACAGCTGCATATTTTTTAGGCTCTAGAGGTGAAATGTTTGTGCGGCGGCGAATGAAAGGTGATATACCATACTATAAATCACCAGGATGCTTGTAAAAAGACTAAGAGGACTTCAATTACAATTTCCACACCATGTATTCGGGAGGGATGGGCTCCTGCAACAAGGCATTTTTAGGACCGTTTTGATCGGTGTAAATGACCTGTTTGCAAAAGATAAGATGAAAGGCTATAAAAAGGTGTGAGCATCTGCAGACTAGACTGCAGCAGACATTAATGTCTGTTCAAATAACATTATCGATTGAAACAGACACTCAGACACATAAGCTCTGCACAGTAGGAGCAACAAAGATGCTACTATTTGTTCACTAGGAGTGAAACAGTTTCTGCTTGAAAAAAGGTACAGATCTTGTCCCTTGTTTGGGCATGCATTTCGCAGCTGCAGTGTATTGTCTTTAATGACGCCTCTTTAAAATTACATGTATGAACTGTAATGTTATTCTATGTATCACATAATCAGCATACAATTAGAGAGGAAAATCATTGGATCATTGGATCAGTATTTATCATTGGATCAGTATTAAATAGACTGTTTATATGTTTATATGTTTGAATGTAATAATCTTTCACAATCTGTAACATAATTTTACAGCGCAGTGCATTCTGATGTAGTAGAGGTATTTATTTAATACACGAGTTTCACAATTTGAGTTGAAATACTGAAACAAATGAACTTTCCACGACATTCTAATTTATTTGAGATACACCTGTATGTGGCTTAAAGCTCTTAACAGCTTTTAAGGTGCAGTGTGTGACGGTCACAGAATAACCGCACATTTAAATGGACTTGAGTTTATGAATGCACTCACACATACACACAGAGACTGTTTACTGACACAAGTTTATTATGATTATGAGTTCATAAAAATACCTGTTGTCTTTGTTGTATTGTCTGTCCCATACTGTTAGTGGTTCTACGGGGAAATGGTGGCGGGAATCTTTGGTCTAAATCTACTTTGGTCTTTGAATCTACTATTGTTAATTGAACATGGGTGTTTCATGAACAACTCGTCCGCGTTGTCCATGAAACAATCTACAAGCTACAATCTTGCTTGGTTCATTATAAAGATTTATATTATAATATATTATCTGAACCATTCCCCCATGCATACCATAAAATGACACCACTACACAATCATGACTCAAAGTTTTAAAAAGAAGTGCTAGAACTGTTACTGATGACCCCTAAAAAAAACTAGATACATGATGCCCCTGATTATAACACAATTGTTCACAGTGTCAAAAATAAAAATAAAGCCTTGAATTACAAACATGTCAGACTAGGTTCTTCTGCTGTACAGAACTGTGCCAGAATGTCCTGTGTGAACAATGGTACCAATAAATAGCCTTTGTACTAAACATAGTGGCTTTGTCTCCGATGCATCACCACAATCCACAAACAATAAACAGGAGACACAATCCCTTGTTAAAGCTGTTTGTGGTTTGAAACAAATCTAGCTGTGTGTCAGTTTTACAGATTTAACAAATAAAGTGCATCTTACCACCAAGTCCCAGTTATTGAGTTCTAGAAGTGTGATCGCTTCTGCAATGTTGTCGATTCCGGTACATGCCTGAAACAAAACCAACAAACTGGTTTTGATATTTGCATATTAAAAATAACAAACCAAAAAGTCCTCTTTTTATATTGAAAGAACGAAATAACAGAACAGGCCAAAAATACATTTCTGAGAATGATAAATGAATTTCTATTTTGTTGCATGCTACATAAATATGCATTATGAACTGAATATATTCATGTACAGTATATATATATATATATATATATATACACATACACACCTTACATGTAAGGTCAAGCTAAATATTTATTCAATATAACAAAGGAAAAGCTATTAAATTATATGAGAGATGTTTATTGTAAACCTGTAAGTTTATAGTCACGATGAAACAGTGTATATAAGCAACCTTCAATTTTGGTGAATGCCACCTTAAAATATTTGTAATTGCTACATATTTCTGATCTCTTTCAGTTTCTATTAAATAATAAACAGTTTGCTAATCAAAACACATATTGTCAACACTCGTAAACTGACTCATATTTAAAATCTCAAGGTAAACAAATTGAAAAACATGAATGTGACAGGTGATGGCAGTGTAGAAACAGAGAGAACCGTACAGGGTCATCTGACAGCTTCTGGCCATTACAGGGTCATAAAAACACAGCTCAGGCTTCAGATGACAGTCCAGCTATGTTTTCTAGTCCCAGATGAGCAGACGACACCAAAATGATGTATTTTAGGCTGTCTATTGTTCTTTTGTCTAGTCATGTGCTTTCCAGATTTCATTTTTGCTGAATAATTCAAACAAAGCCACTGACAGCTGACCATCCGGAGAGATGTCAACAAAAAGAAGTTACTTAAATAGCCGTTACCCGGATAGCACTGAGCAGTCACAAGAACAGGTCTGATCTACTCATCCAGAGCTTATAAAATCACAAATTATCAGTATTTATGTGAGGAAACTCACCTGAAAGTCGGCCAGGATCATTTCTCTGTCCATGTTGCTGTCGGAGGCCATTGCAGTGAGAGGCTAACGACTCATGTAAAAAAAAACAAAAATATCAACCTCCGATTTCAAAAGAGCAGCTCAGGACACGGCTTATCAGTGTGCGGCAAGTAACTGAGTATAAATGCTGCTCTTTGGGGCCGTGTTGTCAGTGTTACGTGGCTTTCCGTTTTTCTGTTATCGTCACTTTGCTGTTCTGGATCGGCGTTCAAAGCAACGGAACATCTTACGGCTGCCGTAAAGAAGTGCCGTGAACTGTCGCGCCCCTCTCACGGTTGGAGAGAGCTGTATATTTTTAAAGCAGCAGCAGCAGCAGGGCCGCGGTTGAATTTGAATCGACTGTCGTACAAGCGACATGTTTGACTACCTTATGACATTTTACAACAAAAAAAATCTTTAAAAATATTTTCTGAAACATGTTTATGGGCACTGTAGGCAGTACTAAAATACCAATTTACATCAAGTCAGTACCAATTTTTCAAAGTTCACTACCGAACTGCCACCCCCCAAAATGATTTTTAATTTTTTTTGTAAACGTGAAGATATAACACAACCATGATGAACAACCAAACGTTAGTAAGCTTTAAGAAAAATCTTAAAATTTAAGAAGGGCTGATTTCATTTTACTAATGGATACTCTTGACTAAACTCACAGTTTTCCTTTATGCCATCTATGCTAAAAAAAAGAATTAAACCAGTTTAAGTTGGTTTGCTGGTCTTAGCAGGTACATGCAAGCCCCACCAGACTGGTTTTAGATGGGTTTAGAGCAATTTTAAATGGGTCAAAATGAGAAATTAGCTTGTCAAACAGCAGAGCACCATCTTAGCCAGCTAGAACCAGGTAAAACCATCCTAAACCAGCAAACTAGAGACATTTGTTGCAATTCAACTTGCTTAAACATTAACCTACAAATGTAAATCTTGTCTCAAAGATAATAATAAAACAAAAACATCAACAAACCAGTCCACGCTGGTCTTAGCAGGTATGCCAGCCCTACAATGCTGGTTTTAGAGGTGTTTAGATCAGTTTTCAGTGAGTCAGGCTGAGAGGCCTTGATCTAGGCCAGGCTAGGAACCAAGCTAGACCATCTTAAACCAGCAAACCAGAGTCATTTGTTGCAATTAAACTTACTTACGTTTTTATAAGCCTTGCCTTGCCTGCCTGGCCTGAAATAAAAATAAATAAATAAACACTAAATAAATAAACCAGTCACAGCCTTGCACAGTGAAAAGTGCCCAAAATCCTCTCAAACCCAGCAAATCAGTAGGCTAGTTTAGTTTGTATGAGCAGGGATGTAGTTGTATGTCTCAGTATAGCCTACTACTAATATAATAGTGTGCACTGTTAATGTAAACACATTAGGCTAGCTATTGCTGTGCTATATGGCTTTAATTCAAATGAATAAACAAAACAATGAGATGGAGAAATATTGAAAAACTGGCCATTTTCAGACAGATTGTAGGCTACTTGTGATGCGGTGGAGGGTTTCATCTCGGCAGTTTACATGACTGAATATAAACCTTGCACTGTCTTACACCCTTTCATCTTACCAGTAATTTGAATAAATTTCACTTCAAACACACATTTATGGAGAGAGGAATTTTATATTGGTAATACCAACACTTCAAAGCCTTCACAGCTCAAGGATGAATGTTTAACACACGGCAGAACCAGTGAGAAGAAAGCAGAAAGTGCATCTCTCAGCAGCCTCTCCCCCAGCAGCAGTATTACCGTTGAGTCCCGCCTCACTCCGCGTCTGTTAGTAAAAGTGGGCGGAAGTGCCGGCCCTTTATTTCAAAAACGGAGTGATGTCAAACAACAGCGGCAGACTCTCTGACAAAGTCAGCTGTCTTCTAACCAGCTCATTCAACGCCCATAAACCGGTCGAAGAGGATAACTCGATGCCCGCGACGTAGCCTAACCATTCTGCAGGTAGTGGATACAATGTTTCATTTTCCATTATGACGTCGTCCATCATCGGCTGAATCGTCACAATGTAACTGCACCTCCGTGCGCGAGGAATCACTACGACAGAACGTTTGTAGATATTCACGCCTTCAGTTCGACATGCGTGATCGCAGACCGAAAACCTATTAAAGCTTCTGTCTACGCGTGTCTGTTTGAAATACCGGACTAGTGTCAGTTAACAAGTTTTGATAACCCTCACGCCAGCGTTCTTTGATGTGCACATCAAAGAAGATTCGCTTTTGACGTTTCATATTCAAAATGGGCGGGAAGCTTGCATAAAACTTACAACACATCCTTGCAAACCCAACTGGATGCATAATATGAATTTCCTCGCGGAATAACAGTCTTCTCACTCTATTTATCTGTTTCAGAGGTCGTTCGGAGGCTTGAAATGACAACATCTGCGAATGTCATGAACGCATCGCAGTTCTCCAGCCCATTGCACCTGCATATAGTTAATATCAGAGGACTCATGAAAGGAAAGTTTGGCTCTCAGATACGAGCATTTTTCATGTGACTACCACGGATCTGTTTGAATGTGAGATCGTATCTGGACCAAGACCGCAGGAGAGCTGCATGTCATTCATGGACACGGGGAGGAACTTCGCGCATTGATCATATAAAAGAGGATGTTTGCTTTTTTTATTCCATATAATTCTTGATTGTGCGTATATTTGATACGAGATGGCATGGCATCCCTGTTTTCTCCGCTGGTTCCGATGGCTTCGGTAGGACGATATTAATGTGGGTGGACCTTGGCGCATCTCCAACGGATATTTTTTAGGGGGGCTGGAGGATCGGGCTATTTACTACAGCTTTGTAGTACTTTTTACATCTAAACCAGCGGACATTTTTTTTAAACGCAAGCATCAGAGATATTCTACATCCTTTGTCAGTATATAATGGCCGAGGACACAGCTATAGATAGGCTGAGCACTGCAGCTGCGATTGGAGATCTGAAAGAAATTGAGCAGACACTGCAAAGCAACGTGAACGTTAATGAGAAGAACAAGTACGGCAGGACACCATTGCAGGTTAGACTCACATCTCCACGAACGACTTTCATATCTAAACACGATGTTTATAATGCATAGTGCATAGAGCCTCAGGAAAACATTTTGTCCTTTTCTTTCTTGCGGTCACTAGCAGTGGCCTGGTTGATTTACTTCTAACTAAACCAGTGTTTTTTTTTATAAAGTTTACCTGCGAACCAGCAAGTACGCACCTGTTGAACTGACAAATGATCTATATTTTATTTATGCCAATAAATTAGCGTCACTCGTTTTCTGATACATAAAGAATTTATTGTGGAAACTGAAAAGTGTTTTATTACACCACAGTCAGCTCACGGGCTAAATGAAATCTGACATTAACGAACAGTTTTTGGCAACATTTTACACTTAAATTAGGATAATTCAGATATCATTGTATTTGTTTCTATACTTTTTATACAACGTAAGTGTAACAACAAAGTTAAAATGTATTTTTAATGATCATGTGTTTTTGTTTTAATAGGCAATAAGGCCCGAAGTGCTCATGTTTATTATTTCCTTTTATGGCGTAGGATAAAATTCTAGAAATCAATAAAATAAATAAATTAAAATCGTACACACCTTGAGATGCTGTTTTTGCTTTTTTCAGATAAACATAAAATGTTCTGCTTATCAGAAGGCCGTCTGGACTAACACCAAGCTCAATATAGCTGTTTAATTTCGGTAAAATATTCATATATTACTCATGTTCTCGTGTCATATTCACAATATATACTCTTGGCTTGAGAATGAGTGATAATTTGAACACTGGGTAATCCCCATCCTCGATGTTCAAAGCCGTATAATGCTAATTTCTATATGTGGCATATATTTATAGGTAGCCTATACATGACATATCAAATATTCGTGATTTTTTGTTTTAACAACATTACGATTTTAGGTTTAAAAATTATGAGTGAATAAGGAAAATTGTATGTTTTAAGGTGCTGTGACTGGTCACTGCTTTTTAGGTTTTGACCGTTTTATCACCTTTTACCTTCACTGGGTCATTTTAAATGGCTCTGCGATGTGACAAAGGAATTTATGAAAATAAGTATTCCATGTGGTCTCTTAATTAATATGAGTTGCAAAAAATGCACGCATAATAATTATCCGAGAATGAGCTGTGTATTGGAGCCTTACCCATATTAAACAATTCGTGTGATGTACTGGTGAACTTCCTCGTAAAAATTTCCATAAACACAATTCATAATATAGGGTATTTTTTTTCCTGGGTGTGTCGATTAGGTCTGCCATCACTTCATAACTTATCATCAGAGGTCAGCGAGTCATAATTTAGGAGGTCATTATGTGCCTAAAACTGATTTCACCACGAACATTTTTTATATCACAGGTTTTGAAGTCGTGGTTATTCTTTCAACATTCTTTCTATTTCTTTTTATTTACATGAGAGTTACATAACAATTAAGTCTCTTCTAATAGGTTAGTAATAATAATAGGTACACGTCATAAGATATACAGTGTGCGTGTGTGTATGTATGTGTATATATATATATATATATATATATATATATAGGCCTTAGATACATTCATGTAGATATTACCCTTTATCTTGATAAGAAATGAATAATGCACTTATGATGCTTAATTGAAATGCACACTTTCATCAAAAAGTGATTAATGTAATTGATTATTATAACAATATTTTTAAGCACCTTAACACATCTCTTTGGGTTGTATCTCAGGTGATGAAACTTGGCTGTCCGTGCATAGCGGAGGCGCTGCTTCGAGCGGGCGCCGATCCAAACGCGCGCGACCCCATCCTGCGACTGACCGTCAGTCACGATGCCGCGCGAGACGGATATCTGGACACTCTACGGGTGCTCGCGCAGAACGGTGCTGATGTCAATCTCCCTGACAACGACGGCAACCTGCCTCTGCATCTGGCGGCGCGGGAGGGACACCTGGCTGTTGTGCAGTATCTCGTATCTGACTGCAGCACGCCGCCTTCTGTGCCTAACGCAAAAGGCTACACGCCTCGTGACCTGGCGCTCATGCACAAAAAACACAGAACTGTGGAGTGGCTGGAGAACATTGCGCCTTCACAATCCAGCTAGAGATTATGACTATGGGCCTGTGTGTTTTGTTGTGTAACAGAGGTAGCAGACAAACGCTGAATGAGCGATTTATTGCATTGCAGACATTTCAGCCAACTACCTCTCATTGCATTGTAAAATATTGGGCTCAGGGGCGTGTCTGTTTGTGAAGAACAATTAACATTTCAGTTGACATTGCATGTTATTCACATTGCCCCCAATTTCAACTGGCTAAGTGGATTACATTTTATTATTTTTTTAATAAGATATTTTTCAGGTCATCTAAGTCTCCATTTTAGTTTTGTATTGATAATTTTAATTTCTTTCACTAACTTCCAGGCAGGTCACGCCTGTCCTATATGTCCTGTTTTATAACAAGAAAAAAAGATAACCTAAATTAATTGATGTGCTTAAAGAAACCAATCTCCCCTTTTATTAAAGTAATTGCACTATAATGGTCAAAATCCACTTAACCCCTGACTGCTCTGTTTTTGTTGTGTTTATAGTTTTATGACATTGAACTTGCACTTTTGCTTGTAATTAATGCCTTTTAACTGTTGATTTACTGTGAAAGCTTATGTTTTGTCGCATTGAAAAAATTAAAACCTTGCAAAATAACCAAAGACAGCTGTTAAACGGTTTCGTGACGTTGTGTGTTTAACTCTGGCCTCGTGTCACTGAAATACGGGTAGGCCTGGAAAACATTTATGAGACTGTATTAAAAACATGAAATATAATTGTTTGAACATTGATAACAGTTTTTTTATGTTGTCGAATGTTTAAAACAGAAAAATAAAACGCTGTGACGTTCGCGGTGGCAGTTGTATATTTTTAGTGTAGGTACAGAGCACAAGTTGTCTGCCGTTCCCTCTGTAAACAGAAAAAGCCTTACAGTTGACAATAATCAGATTTAGCTTTCATTGTAGTGAAAAAGCGAAACTACATTAATATAATCTAATTTGCGTTGTCCTAAAATTCATTTGACTAGAATTAACTACATTTCTCTCACCTTTAAGATATTGCAGGGGTCAATTGCACATTGTGTTTCTGCCCGGATTTTAACTTCTAAAATAAAAGTCATTTTAATATTTTTATTTATAGGGATTAAAATAAAAATTACAATTATAACTGGTGGTGTAACTGATTAGAGACTGTAATAAAAAGTGCCATTAAAAGATTTTTTGTTGTTTTGTTATTTACATGTCTTTCAAGAATTCTAATATAAAATATTAATATTTAACAAATACTGTGGCACAAGTAACAAACATGAAGAATTCTTTTTTTTTTCAGATATTTTGACCTTTTCATGACAAGGCACGTCTTATTCAGGTCGAACTGAGTATAGGCCTAATCCTAAATTTTCTAGACTCAAAAATTAATGATATTTAATAATAAAAAAAATGCTTTACATTGATTACTAAAAGTTATGTACACTCACATTAAGGTGCAAGGACTGTATTTTGGTACTGCTATAAGCTACATTTTATAGTCATTAGCCTAAATCATACACGTTTTTCCCCCTAAATGTATGAAACAAAGAATTCAAAGATCACATATCTAGGAACTTGATACACGTGTTTTAAACGAGATTATCAAAATATCCTTTTCATAATCTCGAACATCCTTATTTGTTATTGACCCATATCGAAACGGCAACAGAAACGCATGCACAATGAAATCTAAATGTGCGTCATGTTGGGCACATTATTTCTCTGCTTTCTCTCGCAGTAATCTAAAACAAATATTTTGACGTGTGGTGTGTGGCAGTCATTCATTTGAAAACCAGACCACAGACAGAAGTGAGTGGACACGTTTCAACCACGAATTCGTATAATAATAATGTGCCATATTTTCTTGGATAAGCAGTGCGCTTTTATTTTAAAGTTCGTGCGTCGTGGATGCACGGATTGTTGTTATTACGTTTGCAGAATACAAAAGGACAGACGACGAATGATAAAATGGTGACTCTCTGAGGGTTTTCATGGTCGAGCAGCAGCAGAAATCCGTTAGATCGGTGGGAGGAAACAGTCCAGTGCGCAGTGCCAAGATTTTCAAATTTAGGCGCTTTCGGTGTAAAAACGCTCACGATTCTCTCCAAACTTACCCTGCGAGAGAAGACGACACTTGTAGGGTGTTTGGCGTTTCAAAACGCAGTTTTCTTGTTTATGGAGATGCCCTGCAGTGATCTTCTTCCTGGTTGCGCGGCTGCGTAAAATCTTCTAGAAACGCACGATGCTTGCTCAAGCTTTATGCTCCAAATCTAATGAATTACATTTATGACTATTATTCAGCTCTCGGCATGGGTTTATATCGACTGTCAACGAGAAAAAAGGTAAATAAAACAACGTCTAAATGTGCAAATATTCTAGACATGTTTGGGCATGTCTATGGTCAGTTTATCATTCATGTATAGTTTACAATTAAAAAAAGAAAGCTTTTCATGTTTATTGGGAGAACTGTGTGTAGGTTAGTCAAAACAGTAACTTCTAATCAATATATAATATGTCGAATGTATAGCATTATAATGTGAAATCGAAAGTTAAAGATGGCAATGAAAAAATAAAGATTTTACTGAAGATTTTTGATAGTTGTCGGTGCTGAAAAATATGAAAGCAAATATGATGACCCTGCGTCCTCAATCATGTCGATACAGACTATAGTGTATAAGCATATGCTCTCTATATATGCATACATCCTAATGGTAACCTAAAAAGGGTGACATTCATTTATACCAGCAAAACTCAATCTTATGGGTTAAATCAGGTAGAAATTGCTCTTTAAGGTAACAATTGCAGGTCATCTCTTTTTACAGTGTGGCTGCAGTGCTAACTTGTGATAAACTGTGATGTTTTGTTCATTGATTGTAGAATATGTGGGTGTAGAGGTCTCCATATCTGACCTTTCAGGGAGTTTGATCGAGCTGACAGTTAACAGTTATAACAGCTGCTTAAGTGGTCTTATGTGGGTTTTTACAATGGACTGAGTGACCAATGCAAAAAATAATAATATTTTTATACTTGAGAACATTTTAAGAGAGGCCTTTTTATTATTTTAATACTAGTAAAAAATAATTGCATAAGTGTTTATTCTGATTGCATTAATGTTGGAGTGAACAGTTCCCTCTTGCTCGTTCAATAATGCTATTTTAAACACATAATTGGTCACATAGAAAAACATACACAACAATACAATTTATAATTTCTAAAAAATAATTATACACATTATTTTTATTAACAATATTTATTTATTTATTTTATTATTTAGTCGCCCTGCTACAAGATCAGTTCGATTTTAATCAAATGAAGACATGAGGGAGCATCATGTGGCAGACCTTTCATCTGCATTTCACAAACTGTTTGCCTGTGTCTGATTTTTTTCCAGTGTCTGATGTTTAATTGCTCAACTGCAATATTTTGTTTTGTCCCAGTGAGGTCACTGAGTGTCAAAATCTTTCATCTTAGAAAAACACTTGTTTGTCATTATATTGACCCGGTCTATTTATGTGATGTCATGTTTTACATCAATATAACATAATAGTTTAAGTGTGTGCATATTGCTTTTCAACCCCATGCTTTTTTAAAACACTGTTTTTAAATTTAATATGTATGCAAAAATATACTGTAAAAAGTGGTAACATGCAATTATTACCTTAAAGAGCTATTTCTGCCTTATCTAACAAATAAAAGGTAGTTTTGTTGATATAAATTGATAAATATAGGATGGTTTAGTGATGTTAAATAGTATTCTTGACTTGAAAAAAACTAGTTATTTTAGATGTTTCATTAATTATTATTTTTGTTCAGTGTGGTAATATAAATAAACGTCCGACCTATCTTGCTTAATATTTGAAAGTTAAAGCAGAATGCTGAATAAAACACCTATTGCATTACAGCCAAAGCGTCATTGATTTTGTGGCCAATATAACACGTTTGCTGCTTTGTAATTTATGAGTGTTGTGTGCTTAGCTTGTGTGAGCAGCTGCCAGGTGGAGTGCCACTTGAAAACTTTGTTTTTCCCACAGAAGGGGTGATACAATATGTCCAAAAGCCCTGTGGTGGTGAGCCATTGCCCAGTCAACAGGGCCACTTTTATCAGACTTTTGGGAAGAACTGCTGTGCATTTTGCTTTCCATTTTCATGAGAAGTTCTGTGGTCGCAGTGACTGACAGCACAGAACTCAATTCAAGTGCAGCTTCCTTCCACTTTCTGCAGGCACTGGGGGTTGTGACACAAATACACAAATGATGAACAGAGTTTGCCGATAGATAGATAGATACAGTGGGGAAAATATTTATTTGATCCCCTGCTGATTTAGTTAGTTTGCCCACTTAAAAAGAAATGAAGGGTCTGTAATTTTGATGGTAGGTTTATTTTAATGGATAGAGACAGAATATCAACCCAAAAATCCAGAAAAAACACATTATATAAAGATTAGAAATTGATTTGCATTTCAGGGCTCCCACAGATTGGTTATGTGCCCATGTGGAACACAGATTAGTCCTGTCAAAAATAACCATCAATCGGCCTCGGTCTGGAGCTCCGTGCAAGATCAAGATCTCCGCCTCATGGCGTAAGGATGATCATGAGAAAGGTGAGGGATCAGCCCAGAACTACACAGGAGGAGCTTGTTAATGATCACAGTCACCAAGCAAAAAAAACATACCGCCAAGGCAACAAAGGAGTGGCTCAAGAAGAAGCACATTAAGGTGACGGAGTGGCCTAGCCAGTCTACAGACCTCAATCCTATAGAAAATCTGTGGAGGGAGCTGAAACTTCGAGTTGCCAAACGACAGCCAAGAAACCTTAAGGATTTAGAGAGAATCTGTAAAGAGGAGTGGATCAGAATCCTTCCTGAGATGTGTGCAAACCTGGTGATCAACTACAAAAAAACGTCTGTGCTTGCCAACAAGGGTTTCTGCACCAAGTACTAAGTCATGTTTTGCTTGGGGATCAAATACTTATTTCACTCACTGAAATGCAAATCAATTTCTAACCTTTGTATAATGTTATATAATTTTATAATGTTTTTTCTGGATTTTTTGGTTGGTATTCTGTCTCTATATGTTAAAATAAACCTACCATAAAAATTACAGACCCTTCATTTCTTTGTAAGTGGGCAAACTTACAAAATCAGCAGGGGATCAAATAAATATTTTCCCCACTGTAAATAGATAGATAGATAAATGATAGATATAGATAGATAGATAGATAGATAGATATATAGACTTTGAAACTATTTCTACAGTACATATCACGTACACACAATGATGATATTGTGACCTTCCCTGTTGTAATAATGTGGATATAGTAAATAAATAAAATAATAAAAATAAAATGTGGAGCCTCTGAACTGGCAGAAGGATTTGAAAAAGCTGATTTGAAAAAATCGTTAAATCTAAACCTTATTTGTTAAAAGTGCACCTAATGAGGTTTTGCTTTACTGGCAGTTTGCAGGGTGTCTATGCAAAGTATATTGCTGGACAGCAGATATTAAACAAATTTGTATTTGCATATATAATTTGGTGTGTATGTAAATATATATAGAGGAGGAATTTCAGGGACTTTCAGGTCAGGTTGCCACATTTATAGTAGGGAAAATGGTATAAATATCAGTAATTAAAATGCTTTTTGAAAACATTTGTGTATATTTCCAGATAAAAGTATATATTTATT